GAACTCACTTGGTAGCCCAGGCTGGCCTCGAACTCACAGAGATCCGCCTGCCTCTGCCTCCCGAGTGCTGGGATTAAAGGCGTGCACCACCACCGCCCGGCTTGAACACTTTTTTTAAAAAAAGATTTATTTATTTATTATGTATACAGAAGAGGGTGCCAGATCTCATTACAAATGGTTGTGAGCCACCATGTGGTTGCTGGGAATTGAACTCAGGACCTCTGGAAGAGCAGTTGGTGCTCTTAACCTCTGAGCCATCTCTCCAGCCCTCTTGAACACATTTTTATTATTTTAAAACTTTTACACTTTTTATTTGAGGTGATATTTCTCCCTCCCTTTTCCTACCTCTGACCCCTCCCATGTATCTTTCCTTGCTCTAAGTCAAGGCTTCTTTCCCCTTATTTGTTAACTCTCTCTCTCTCTCTCTCTCTCTCTCTCTCTCTCTCACTCTCTCTCTGAAAACAACATATATATATATATAATATTATATGTTGTTTTGTTTTTTGAGACCAGGTTTCTCCGTATAGTTTTGGTGCCTGTCCTGGAGCTCACTTGGTAGCCCAGGCTGGTCTGGAACTCACAAAGATCAGCCTGGCTCTGCCTCCTGAGTGCTGGGATTAAAGTCGTGCTCCATGGCCGCCCGACATGTGTTTATATTCTTAAGTATGTAAATACAACCTGCTCAGTCTGTATAATGTTACTTGTATATATATGTTTTCAGAGCTAACCATTTGGTACTGGATAACCACTTGATGCTCTTCCCTGGAGAAGACTTTCTCCTGCTCTCAGCATTCCTTGGTTGCCTGTAGTTGTCTAGAGTTGAGGCCTTGTGAGCTTCCCCTTTTCATTAGCATGTATATTAGTGTTCTCCTTGTTCAGGTCTTGTTTAGGCAGCCATGTTGGTGAGACTTCATGGATGTAGCTTTCCTAACATTTGTAGGAGACACTATCTCATAGAAAACTTCTTGTCCCTTTGCCTCTTACAATCTTCTTCTACAACAGTGGTTCTCAACTTTCCCAATGATGTGACCCTTTAATATAGTTCCTTATGTTGTGACCCCCCAACCATAAAATTATTTTGTTTCTACTGTAATTTTGCTACTGTTATGAATCATAATGTAAATATCTGGTATGCAGGATAACTGATATGTGACCCCTGTGAAAGGGTCATTTGACCCCCAAAGGAGTTGTGTTCCCCAACCCCAGGTTGAGAACTTCTGTTCTAAAACAATCCTTAAACTTTAGGTGAAGCTATGTTATAGATGTATCAGTTGGGACCACGCTCCACAACTCTGCATTTTGATGGTTGTGTGTTTTTTTTTGAATGATGTCCACCTGTTTGTTGCAAAGATGTTCCTTGATGAACACTAAGAACTACACTTATTTGTGGCTATAAGGATACAATACTTAGAGTGTAGTTAGAGACTATGCTGGTTTAGTCAAGTGGAGGATACAGGTTCTTCTCCAAGACTTCACTGGCCATGGGTAGGCTGGATTTTAGTACCAGGCATGATTTCCCTCTTGTTCAGAGTACAATTAGAGTTGTTGGTTACCACCAAGGTATGCATGACATGCTGGTCACTGTTATGGTTCGTAGGCATCATAGTAAGAATTATCAGTTGTTTCCCTCCTTTGGAAGCTTGCATGACACCTTCTGGTACCATTAAAGCTAGTTCTCAAGGAGGAGGCTTTCACTTCAGATCCACTTCTGGTCCTCTGAGTACTGAGAACATCCTTCTCTCTTTCTCTGTCTTTTTAGTCTCACAGGCCATCAGGAAACCCCATGTTTTCTACCTTTTATCTATTTCCAGAATCCAAGTATTTGCTACTGTTACTCAAAGAGCTTCCCTGGGAAAGGTGCTGGCACATATGCTGGCCTACTGCCTGAATGAGAGCTGGAGGAGAGGCTGTCTATGGCTAGAACTGTTCAAACAGTGCCTCACTGACATGTGGATTTGTTTCATTTCCTTTGTATTTTCTGCTCGTCTCTGCAGACAAGCACTTTATCTATGAAAAGCTAAAGGCAGATAGGAAGTTATGTTTTCAGTTACTGAGTCCCAGGAACAGCAGAACTATCTCTTCACACACACACCCCCCCCCCCCCCCCCCCCCCCCCCCCCCCACCCCACACCACCCCCCCCCCCCCCCCCGCCCCATGAGAGCAATTACCAAAGCTCCCTACTACCTTGGTCAGTTCCTGTAAGAATGCTGTACTCTGAAACCCAGAAAGAAATGAGATCAAAGAAAGGGTGAGAAGAAAAGGAAAGGAAAAGGCTTTAAAAGGAGGGAGGGAAAAAAGCAAAAGGAAAGAAGAAAGAAAAGGTTTTTAAATCTAAGTGTTAGAGCTGGAAAGACGACAGTTCAGTAGGTAAAGCGCTTGTTGTACAACCCTGATAACCTGGGAGAGTCCCACAACACACAAAGCCCCCCAAAGCCAGATGACTTGAGTTTGCTGAGTTTGTAATTCCAGCCTCAGAATTCCTATGGTGAGATGGGAGGTAGAGACAGAATTGACCAGAAGTTCAAGTTCATAGTGTAGCAGCAGAAATAACAAGAGAGATTCTATTTCAAAAACAAGGAGAAAGAACAGACTCCTGGAAAAGCTGTCCTTTGACTTCTACACACACACACAGGCATACAAATAATTTAAAACATTCCAAGTGGTGGGCCAGGTGTGGTGGTGCATGCCTTTAATTCCAGCATTCAGAAGACAGAGGCAGGAGGATCTCTGAGTCCCAGGACAGCCAGAGCTATATGGTGAGACCAAGTCTTTAAAAAAAAATTAAGTCCAAGTGGTAATAAATTTTGGGTTCACTCCAGGGAACAAAAGCAATATTGGAGTGAAGCAGGGAACTCTACCTCTTTGCATCTCTATTCTGCCTCAAAATCATACTGAATTTACTGGGTTAACTGTGAGTCTGTTTAAAGCCCTGCTAGGAAGGAACTGCCATACCCACTTCTTTCTCCTTTTTGCTGTCCTGGTGAAGCAGCTTCCAGAGGTCATTTAGCCACAGCTACCCCACCTATTCCTCCTCAGCCAGACAAGTGGCGTGGCTGAGGAGTGATGGCAGCTTTCTGACAGCTACCATGCACAGCCATAGGCATCAGAGTAGAGGGGACTGGAGAATGTTCAAGGGAATTTGCATCCATCAGACAGAAGAGGATTTATTCTCTTAGCTTCTGGTTGGGGTCACCAAGTATGTTATTAGGGGTTGCTCTAGAGCCCCAGTGTTTCCAGATTTGTGGCATTTTGTTCAAAGAATAAAAAAAAGCACACACAAAGAACAAAGTAGCATGAGATCTTATTCAGAGGCAAAGTAAAAGCACAAGTTAGATATGCTATAAGAAATTGGGGTCCTGAGCAAGCAGGCAGCTCAAGAGTGCCTGGCGACTGTTCAGGGCTTTCTTTTATGTTCAAGAGGAAGAGCAGTTGGTTATTAAGGGGAAAGGAACTTTTTGGTGTGTGTGTGTGTGTGTGTGTGTGTGTGTGTGTGTGTGTGTGTGTGTGTTTGTATCAGAGAGAGAGAGAGAGAGGGAGAGAGGAGAGAGGAGAGAGGAAGAGATGAAAAGGGAGGGGGAGAGTGGGAAGGAGAGAGAGGAGTGGAGGAAAGAGAAAGAGAGACAAAGTGGGGGGCTTGTTTGTGCACATATACCTGTGTGAAGAGGCCAAAGGACTTCAGCTGTCCTGCTTTGCTGTAGCCCCTTGAAACAGGGTGTTTCAGTGAACCTGGAACTAGGATGGCGGTTGGAAGCCCCGCTACCTTCCCATTTCCACTCCCAACAAACAGCACTGCAGTTACAGGCACGTGACCACCTTCAGCTTCTTACCTGGGTGTTGGGGATTCAA